CAGCCTGTCCCGAAGAAGCCGAGGTAGGGTGTGTGTCTCTAAGGAACTTGATACATTAGATTTGTTTTTTGTGTCATTTCTGTTCACTCACTTACCAGTTTATTAGGTACACCTAGCCTAAACTAATGCAACCTAATAGTCTTGTATTAGTAAAATGCTCCCTTTATGAATATGCTGTTGGATTTGTATAGATGTGTTTTTGTTATTTAGTCTGGCCTGTAAAAGTGGTGGACAAAATAATAGAAACACCTGTCAGTGGATGATCAGTGCTTTTCAAAACATTTGTGAGAGAAGGACTGTGTGTTTCTGCTGAGATTCAATATATTTACCTGAGTACTACAAATACTTGAGTATAGATTTCAGGTATTTTACTTGAGTAATTCAATTGTCTGCTACTTTATACCTTTATTCCATTTTATTTCCACTTTCAACTGCTTCAAAAACAAAATGTATGATCAATATATAAAGTATAATATAAAATATGATCATTAAATGATTCACTTAAATGTATTTTGTATTTTTCTTTCTAACAAATTCAACTTTATTGTGATTTACAGACTGTTTTTTTAATAGTACACGCTGTTATTTCTGTTTTCCAGGTCACTGGTCTCATCGCATCAACATGGAACATCCCCATGTTTGGCTTTGCGGGACAGTCCTCCAAAATGGACAACACTGATATCTATGACTCCTACATTAAAATTGTGCCACCTCTTAAAAGAAGCTCAGAGGTCCTGGAGAAGACGCTGGAGTTCTTCGGGTGGAGTCACATAGCGATGATCGGAGGGGGATTAGAGTCAAACACATGGAACAAAGTTGATGCTTTGTGGAAAACTGTTGAGAATCCACTAAGAACCAAATTCAAACTGACTGCAGCCATCAAGTTTGACACCACCAACCCTGAACTCCTTCATCAAAATGTTAAGTACATCTCAACAGTTGCCAGAGGTATGAAAACTGCTGCTTGTGTGGTTCTTTAAAAGCACATATAACTAGATTTTTTGCCAGTGAATTGGCTGCTGGTTGTGTATTTGTCAAACATTTCTGCTCTCCTGTGACCCTGCTGCATCCTGCAGTGATTGTGGTGCTAACAAACAGCGAGGACTCTATGGCTTTGTTGCTGGAGGCTGAGAAACAGGGTATGATGAACGGTGATTACATATTCTTCCTGCTGCAGCATTTTGAGGTCAGTGGCACCGTGGTGAGTAAAGTTTTTATAACACATGCACAGTTACACAAGGGCAAGGTTTAGACACTTGAGTTCTCCCATCTGGAGGAGCGTGCCACAGCTTTTTGTCAAACAGTCGGGTGCAGCGTCCATCATGAGTTCGCACTACCCACTGCAGACTATGTGCACACTTACACAGTGTTATCAGATACCTATATCAATCATATGAATTATTTCTAAAGTGGTAGTCTTACTTTTAAAACACTTAACACTGCATTTAGACAAAATACAGTGAGCACAACACAATGATTAAAACAATCATTCAGTAATATTCAGTCATTATTTCCCTCCTTGTATTTCAGTCTTACACTTTTATACATGTCTTTACTTTGGGTGCTGTGATTTTTGGGAATTATTGCTGTTGCTACTGGATACCTGAATTTCCCTTGGAATCAATTATCTATCTATCTGTAATATTGAACATTATTTTTTTTAATAAAGCCTGATGTTGTCGGTGAATTCTTTCTAATCGAATGATCAAACTTTTCATCTTCCATACCTCTTAACAAAGCTGTTTTTATATGCATCATGTTATTTATTTTCCTGAGCAGGATAACTTGTGGAAATATGCCCAGAACAAAAGGATAAACCAAGCTGCCGTAAGAGCTTTTGACATGGCCTTCATCATCAGTCAGAAAACCGATGACAGCTTTGAGTACTATGACTTCTTTGAGCAGGTTTTCCAGAGGCTAAGAGGACACCCCTTTTGGAGCAATCTGACATCTGACAGAGAGGTAAGCACCTGTGGTAGGAACAGAATATCACACTTGTGATAATGTGTCACTAAAATGTTGGAATGTAAACTCGTTCACATTCATTCTGCTCAAAAATAAAATTCCATTTATTGCATTTGTGTCTCTTCAGATCAGCCCCTACTCTGCCTACCTGCATGACGCAGTGCTGCTGTATGCAATGGGCCTTAAGGAGGTCCTCAAGGACGGCAAAGACCCTCAGGATGGACGACAGCTGCTACAGACACTGAAAAATAAAAACAACTTTCGATTTAATGGTCGGTAGCAGCTTTAATAAATACATTGAGGTCTGCATAGCGACCATTAACTTTCTGAATTGATCTCACTTTCTTGTTTATCCTAAAGAAGACGTTCTTTATAAAATTGCTTATTTATTAGTTTGTGCATCTACAAGCCATTTTATATTCTATACAGACTGAGGTTTTGACAGCACCTCTCTACATTTTGCACTTAAAGCTACAGTATGTGGGCGGTACAGTGGTGTGGAGATTAGTGCTGTCACCTCACAGCAAGAAGGTTCTGGGTTTGAGCCCCGGGGCCTTTCTGTGCGGAGTGTGCATGTTCTCCCTATGCCTACGTGGGTTCTCTTTGGGTGCTCAGGCTTCCTCCCACAGTCCAAACACATGCAGCTTAGGTTGACTGGCAAGTCTCTCATTTTGAACAACTGAGAGCTTATTTTGCTCCCATAGCTATGACCCTGCATTTCTTTATCAGTCAACTAGTCGTCATCTTCCATCCACCTTTTAATGTGTATTTTCAATGTGTGCACTATAAAATCTGAGTGGAAAGAAGAGCTGAAAATAAATTTCTACTGAAGTGTAAAAATAAGTACAAAAAAAAGCACAATGCAACAAAGTGAAGACCCTCTTCTACATTTCCATGGAACACACAGTAGATGGGGTGGCAGCAGAAATCTCACAGTTTGGTATCTCAAACCAAAACTATGCCCTTTCAACAGTGATTCACCGCATCCTGAGACTGAAACACCTGGCACAGACTGTGTGATGCAGTACCGGCTTGTCATTGTAGGTGCTTCTGGACTTGTCCACTTTGACGAGAAGGGCGAGAGAAATTTAGACTACTCCATTTACGACCTGCAGCACTCAGGAGATGTTACCAAGTTTGTGCCCGTCCTGCATTTTGAGAGTCGCACCAAAAATGTCCGGTAAAAAACACTTTTTTATACCATCGAACAATTATTAAACAATTTACTTTTTCATAACACAAAAAGTCACACTTCTGATGTGTTCTCGTGAAGCTATAGATTACAGGAAACATATCATTTCAGGCCGACATCTATGTTTGCTTCTGTGGTTTGGCCCAAAGGACGACCTCCTAATGATAACCCAGAATGCGGATTCAACAACGAACTCTGTGAATGGATAATTAATGGTAGGATTCAAACTCTACATCCTCACATCAGAAAACTCACCATTCTTCAGTATGAAACAGAAATATTTATCAGCCGCATTATCATACCATCTTACTGGGACAGACATCGCCCTGCTGGGTCTGTTGGTGGCCCTCCCCGTGGTCGGCATGCTGGCACTTCTGTCCATCGGGGTCCTCATTCTGCAGAGGTTTCGACTCCAGACAAGGCTCGATGACTCCTGCTGGTGGCTCATCAACTACAGCGACATCACCATCATCAAGGAGCCCTCGGTACGAGCAGTAAAACAGATGTGCTGCTGCTGCGCCTCCGCTCAGTGTCACTGTGCTCTCCCTGCCTGGTTTGCGTTCACACGTGTGCCTGTGTGTCATGTCTCCTCCAGGGAACTCAGGGTTTTTCTCTCAGCACCACAAGAAGTCAGAGTGGGAGCAGTGGGTCTCAGTCCAACTTCTCCAGCAACAGCTATGGCCTGAGGGACAAGAACGGGAAAGAACATATCTACAGCACAATAGGTCTTTACCAGGTAGAGTCTAAAACAAACCTGTGGAACTTTTTTATTTGTCACAGGAAGGTTGTGTCATCAAATACACACAAACCTGAGTGTTTGCAAAAGGTTTACATATGTCACAGGGAAAATAAAGTCTACTTGTGGTTAAAATTGATTAAATGATTGATCTAGGGTTTGTTTTATAATGTCCACACAGGGAAATCAAGTGGCCATCAAGTACATCAAGAATCCCATCTGCTGTAATTTCCAGAAGCCTTCAATTATCACAGAGTTCAATGTGGTAAAGTTCCTCACATGGTTCTAGACCAAACATCCTTTTTGAATTTGGTTTGACCTGTACTCATTTATTTGTTTATTCTGATAATTGTAACAGTATTAAAATCCTGCTGCAGTGCATTTAAGTAAAGAGGGTAAGTTTCACATGATGTTGGAAATAATGGGACAGGTCTTACTGTACACCTGTAACAAATAACAATCTAAAAGATATGATTTTAGGACATGTTAGTGAAGGAGAAAAGAAGTCGTCTTCGCCTGTGAGGAGCGGTACTGTGTGCCTAACCATCTGAAACTCTTTAAGACAGATGAAAGAGATGAAACATGAGAACTTGGTGCAGTTTTTTGGTGCTTGCGTTGAGCCACCGAACGTCTGCTTGGTCATCCAGTACTGCAGGAAAGGGAGCCTGAAGGTCTGTGTCCCAGCTTGTACTGTGTAATACACACTTTTATTACATACTGTAGATCTGCCACTTTATGATGCTTGTTGCCCTTGTGGTGTTTTGGTATATTGCTATACTGGCCCAACAGGGGCTGTTTGAAAAACAACTTGCCTGATTGTACAGGATTAAAAATGTTTAACAGTAGAACTTAAACTTCAAATTGTTTTTTTACACTTTGGTTATTTTTCTGCAGGATGTTTTAAAGGCATCAGATGTTGAGCTGGATGGGATGTTCAAGCTGTCCTTTGCATATGATATCGTCAATGTGAGTCAGCTCATTTTTGCTGTAATTCAATGTATTATTAATAATACTAATAAGTGAATAAATGAAAATGCTTTTATAAATATGTGAATAAATACATAATACTATGGCTGAAAAAGTGAAAGCAAATCTGTAACAATTAAAAAAAATGAAAGAAAGTTCAAAGTATTGATAAAAAGTCCCAACGCAAAGGTCTGCCAGAAATAAAATTTAGGTGGGTAAATACAGAATCCTTAATTCGTTATCTTTTGGCTTGAGAGTAATCGGTGGTAGCTCCAGTGTGGCCCTGAATGCACCTTCAGTTTATGTTTACCCCATTTACCAAGAGTCAAACCAAAAACACAACAACTAAGCCCAAAAACTAAAGTTTGGTTTCTGACCCTTAAAACAGACACAACCTGCAGTCAGTCCACAGACTGGGACTGCTTTTTTAAATTCTTATATGACAAAATTATTAATTATATGAAAACATATTATAATTCTGAACTTTTCATAATTTAAACCCATTTATCTGTGATGCAGGGAATGGAGTTCATCCACAAAAGTAGCCTGAAGTTTCATGGCAACCTGAAGCCCAGCACATGTCTGGTGGACAGCCGACTCCAGATCAAACTCTCAGGCTTTGGACTGTGGGAGTTTAAACACGGGGGCAGAATCGGGATCTCACTGGAAAACCCCAGTTATGAAGGTCAGCGGGTGGAGTCAGCTGTGGAAATCAGAGTGTTTAATATAAGTGTCCTGCTAATGTGCATTTATGGTTATTACAGTATGAAGGAGAAGTAAAACGTCTGTTCCTTGTTGTAGAGATGTACTGGACAGCCCCTGAGCTGCTGAGACAAGTCAGTCTCACGGTCAACGGGACACCTAAAGGTGACATCTACAGCTTTGCCATCATCATGTGGGAGCTAATGTACAACTCTAAGTCTGGCCCATACCGCGACATCAACCTGGAGCCCAAAGGTTAGCATGTTACAAAGTCACTCATTTTCTTAAGGCACTTATTCATTTCCAGGTGAATGTAAAATATAATGTTGTCATGGAACCCGTTATTCTAATTAACTTTGGGCTATTTTTAATCCTGTAAAGGATTATACTTTGACACACTAGCACCTTTAAACATATTGCCAAATTAGCTATTAGCTGTTCCTGTTTGCAGTGTACCCAAAAATGTACCACTAACTCTCACTTTGCTATGGAGGAAAACTTAAAAACGTGATTGTTTTCAAGCATGTTCTGATGTATATTCATGGACATGAGACAGGATATGTCCACAATATGAACTATGTGTACTGTATCGTGTCCACACGTTTGGATTTGAGTTATGACACCGATATGATTTATTGTTCATACTTAGGTGTATGAATTATGGTGCAAATCGTGGCTCATGCCCTGCATCTGTCCCTTGTACCCCCACACCCCATAGTGTGAAAACCTCTGGTCCATCATATTTAACATCTCTGAGCAGTTAAGAGTCTCAAGTCATACATATTATCTATTTGATCCTTTATCTTATCTCTCATTAGCATTAAACACAAAGTACAGCTGAAGCTGATGGGAATGTCATCCTCCAAAGTATTGGACAAATTATCACTTTGACTTGATGGTAGCGCCAAATGAAAAGTCAGGGGATTGCCAGAATTATTTCATGACATCCTGAGAGGAACATGAATGTCTGTACCAAGTTTCACAGCAATCCATCCAGTAATTGTCAAGATATTTCAGTTTGGATAAAGAGATAAT